GGAAGAAATAAATCATAAATTAAAAAAGCAAACCTGTATTAATTTGTGTCTAATTTGTTTATTAAAAACACTGACAAGATTGCCTCAGGATATGTGTTTTATTATGCAAATTGTTGTTTATGAGACACTCTATAAAAGAAAAACATGGGGGCTAGTGAAAATGCCTGCGGGCTAGTTAAGAGTCTGTTTCAGAAGCCCAGCTGGCTAGTGAAAATAAAAATTAACGTTGCCACCCTGGTACATGTAACATGATGTATGTAAATTACAGGCGGTTTAGTTTGATTTCATTTTGACTTCATGCATCTCTTACAAGTTGGGTCAAGTGTCTTGAAAAGATTTTAACAAGAAAAGAATACTTGTTACCAGACTTGTCAAGTCACCAAACATCGAGTCCATAGTCCGAGTCCGAGTCACCTCTCCCAAGTCATGCAGGACGAGTTTAAGTAACCTCACAGTGTACATGTTGCCATTCATTTTCTCTAATTTGATGAACTGGAACTACACGTATGACATTTCAAAATAAAGCAAGACATCATGTGTCTGGAAAGGATAATCTGGTAGCATTTTGCAATATCAAGTGTGGATACTGCGGAACATGTTTCCATACATTGGTTTTCCAAATGGTATAATAATTGGAAAACAAACCAATCACACTATATGTACAGTACTAAGATACGTTTCTTCTGCACAGCACTGACTGTAATTGCTCAGGAGAGAATCGTCTACAAAATATTTTGTAATTATATTGTTGAAAAAGAAAAAAGTGATTTGTTGTTATTCTGGTCAAGTCCCAAGTCAGGCTGGTCAAGTCCCAAGTCAGGCAGGTCAAGTCAAAGTCCAAGTGGGAGACTGGGTTGAGTCCGAGTCATACATACCAAGTCTGCTTGTTCCTCTTAATCACTATAAACTAAATTTCCTAAGCCAGATAGTTAAAGCACATAAAAGACCAATATTTTATTACATGGAAGATTTCTGCCGCAGAGTTTCCAGGATTACTGTCCAACTAAATAAAAATAATCAGGTGTTTCACCTCATTTTTCTTGTGGACATAGCAGAAACTGGAAAAAGGAGCAGCGGTCAAGAGCCTTGCAGGCCAAGCTGACCCTACCAAGCATGTTGCATGTAGAGTTTACATTCTTTGCATAGTGCAAATGCTAACACATGCTGTGGTCTTCCTCTAAGTTACCACATATGCTGACCCTTCCTTCAGCTGCAAGGACTTCTTACAATTACACAGGCATTATTCTGATGTAAGTGATGCTGATTTCTGCTGTAATAACCCTCTGCTTTTGTGCACCTTACTAAACAATAAGGAATACCTTGAGGTATGTGTACCAGCTGTCCGTTTCATTTGTATAGTGAAAGTAATTGACCACATGTATCATAATAAAACAAAAAAATACCCCCAATAAAAGAGGGGGCAAAATAAAACAAAAAAAAACACCCCAATAAAAGAGGGGGCAAAGAAAGGCAAATGGCTTGAGAATTTCCAATTCAAACAGTGCCGTTTCTACCTAATAAGCTGAACGATTCCCCATTGCTTAAAAGAAGATACCGAATATTCAGTGACTCTGGAATTCCTTACTTTTTATACTGACCTTTCAAGTGAGATTTGTCTTTTCAATTCCGGCACCTTCATACTAAAAAGTAAAAATAAACAAGTACCGGGTAAAATGAAAAAATTGTATGTAAAATCTGTTTTGTCTAAGAATAGGTGAAGTATGGAATTAAAAAAACCATGGACATGTCATTTTGGAGGAGTGTCATGAACAGTCCTTCCACATGACATTGACTGCATCAAGAGTAGGAAGTAAGAATCATGTGATAACTTAGAAAGCAAATACATGTAATTGCATGAAATGTAAGTGAAAGGTTACTTTGATACTCAAAATTAGAAAGTCTAATTGATGGTTTCAGAGAGTCACAGTCTCCAGACTTAGAACAAAATGACCACTTTAGACAAAGATGATTTTTCTTAGTTATTATTTTAATGTATTTTTTTCAAGGTTTCTGGCTCCCATTAAGTTACTGCATGCTGTTTCCACCTACACTTCCATCTTGGTTAAAAATATCCATATCAATAATATAGTTAATAAATGTACACGTATATGTACCTCTAATAACAGCAAGACATTAGCATACATGTACCGGCACTAAGCATTTACCATTACCACAGACTAATAAGGGTACATCATCACAGCATTTTTCTCTGTAAAGTAAAGATAGTAAGCCCACTACCAAAGTACAAACACAGTTGTATTTCATACCCAAACTTATGTCATGGACCATAGGATTGTTATGACTTCAATACATTTCAAACAGCTTTCTTGCCATGTAACTATGAATCTTCACTGGGCCTGTAAAAGGAATACAAATCAACTTTTTAGCTTTTATGCTGATGAAAATTTTCACATTCATGAGCCAAAGCGTGATTGCATTCAAGGCAGAACAGTAGCATCTCCGTAGCTTAATTTGTGTACAAATAAAAATCAAACTTTTTTTTCATTTTCTTTTGAGTAAGTTCCACTTTTTACTTGTTTATCATGTTAAACAGCTTGTTTGGACAACATTAGTGGCCAATATTTCTTCAAAACTTTTTTGGGGGTAATTTTGAAGAACTTATTTTTGTATTGTTCATATGCACTTTTGACAAGGAGTACCTTGTGTGACAACAGCAAAATAGCGCCCTCTTACAAGTATCAATGAAAGGATTTGCTAATAATTGAAAAATTACCACTTTTTGTTACTTCCAATGAAAACAAGTATTAAGATCTTGTATGTATTTTTGCAACACATAATATTGTGCATGAAAACAAGATGAGCTGAATTTTCACTGCATGTTTCCTTTGAAGAAAATGTATTGTCCATGCCACTTTTGAGTTTCGACATTCAAATTGATTGGGTGGTTTTTGTTTGCTATTTCCTAGTAATACAAAATTGATTCACATTTGAATGAGGCATCCAATGACATCAGCCCACAATTAGGTCTGGAAGAATTACTTTACAAAGTGGATTTCTTAGATGGTATTCTAATTTCAAACCGATGTAAGATTGATAATGCAGGGACAACCAACCACTCTACTAGTATACTCACATGCAACTTCTGTTTCCGTGCAAAGCAACCCCACATTAAGCTCTATTCAGAGCATTAGAAAAGGACAAATGTTTTGGGGGGTCAAATAAAACATTCAAGATGAAATTTCATCACAAGAAAAATTGTGAACAGAATGGACAGTACATTTTTCACAAAAGTATGAAAATCTGTTGTTTGGAAGGGGCCTACTTTAAAGTGTTAAAGATTACGAGTTGTAACAGCTTGTCACTGTGGACAATAGGGTTTTGATTGTATTTTTACACAGGATAGCTACATGTTATTTCAAATAGGAAATAATTTAACCATACAATACCACTTCTCATTTTTGGATTGCCAGGGTTTTTTTTTGGGGGGGGGGGGTGGGTATTTAAACAAAAATTGATAGCCCTGTAAATGGATTTTGAATTTAATACCAAAATGATACATAATCTTTAATAGTGTTTATATTCAATCTCAATATAATAATTTGTAGAGTTTTTTTCATTTTCTTTCTTCAGGCAAAATGTCAACACATCCATGAAGGTATACAAATACTATATACACTGTATACATATACTACCAGCAGAATTCCACAGTCAATGTGTTGACAGGCAAGTTCAGCATTACTGAGTTCATGACAAGAAAACATATGATAACAAACATCTACGGCAGTGGGCGGCTTTCCCCTGCTATTCCTTTGGGAAATAATAGCCTCATGTCGCTCTTCTTTGATACTTTTCAACAACATTGTTCAGAACGTTTTGAACACAAAAATTGGGAGCTAGGGATGACGTTCGGTATAGCGGTTATTCAACAAATACTCTGTTTGTGAAGTTATGTAAAAGAGTGGGAAATTTGAACAAACGAACGGATATGGTAGGGTCAAATTGGAGTGACATTGCCACAATCTAAATAAACAAAACTACAAGCTGTTTCATACACTGAATAAATTTTGTGAGGAATTCAAAGTTTCACATTTCATAAGGACATGCACTATCCAGACAGTTATGCTCATCAATTTATGCAGAAAAAAAATGAATGGCCCAACAAATTAATATTTCATATTAATGTGTGTAACAACAAAGACTAATACGAAATAATTTAGCACGCCAAAGGGTGGCATTACAATAAATAAAAAAAAGCATGTCAATTCCTCTCATTTTTCCCTCATTAAGCTGTTGTAATGAATACATAATAAAGTTAGTTAATACATGTATCAGTAAATTAATTTGGTATTACTTAAATCGCATTTTAATTTTAGCTGTGTAAAAAGTCATGACTTCAACTGCAAGATGATAACACCAAATATTTCACAAACTTAAAGGTAATATACAATTGCTTTTGCTGTAGTTTTTTTTATTTTATTTTTTTAGAAATGGATGGATGGGGGGGGGGGGGGTAGTATTTTATAGCAAATATTGTGTCCAAAAGAAATGCTGTTCTTGTAATCTGGTCCCCTGAACCTACTCCACATGAAACAGAGCAAATAATGGACGTCAGGGAATTGTCAGGTCAGGGCACCGGACTAGCTAGCTTGCACGTTTTCACGGTTGTGATTGCAAAGAAAATGTGGACTAAACTTAATTTGGTTATTGAGAGCAGTATTTGAAAAAAAATTGCCCAACGATGGTTGGCCAACCATCATTGGAAATTGATACAAAAATTCCACTATCCTTGAAAATGACAGCACACTGGGTGCCTTGATTTCACAGGATGTTTGAGACTATTATTCACTTACCGTCAAGTAAGGCATTTCATAATAATGGGCATTTTTTTTTTTGCAGGGGATTTGTTTACATTTGCAAATGATGTATATTACCTTTTAACACCACTGTTTGCTTAGTATATCACTTCATATACAATGTACATTTTGTGTAACTTAAATTGAATGAAACTGTGGCTTGCATGGCCGTAACTCTTATAAATATTAGTGTTATCTGCTCTCTTGGCTTCATTTCAAACCCATTTTTACCTCCGTCACTTTTTAAGGTGTTTTTTTTACCACCACTTATGTCAAGATATAATTATGACAAATAGAAATAATATACTTTTTTCAGTCATCACTTTGTTTAACACTGTCAAATAATAAATACGACATCATCTCTTCATGTTAATGCACAAACTTTTTACATTTGTTGGGGGTATATGAGCCCAAGTCAGGAATGAGATTGCCAATTAAGACTCAAAAAAGTCTGAAAATTGGATGAAATTTCTCTAGATGCTTCTTTTGTGTTACTTTCTTTGCAAAGTCATGCATTTTTTTTTCAGATTTAACAGGTCTGTTTTCAGTCCAAAGTCTCAAAAATCTTATGCCGAGTCACATATGGATATTTGCACTCATTGACAAACTCTATTTGAATATCGTCAATTTGAATTAGGAGTACATGGATGTGTTACCAGTATATTGTGCAAAATAAGTGGGCTGTCAGCAATACTACAGATTAGCATGAAAAACTAGCAATTGGAAGGAGGCTTTAGTGCCATTCTCAACTATGGTGCATTTCTCTTGTATGAGATGTAGATGTGACTAATGCAGTTAAATACCGCTGCATATCCCATGTGATATGTTTTCAAATGGCTTTGGTCATACTTTTAGTCACTCAGCTTGGAGTATGTTGATGGGCTGAAACGTCTGCGCAGATACTTGAGGATGTACAGAGGAACACAACTGATGAGAGTTATGACAACCACCTTCCACCAGAATGCTCCAGTGATGATGAAATTACGATCTGTAGGAAAACAAGGAAGACAAGATTGTGGCATTTCAGTTCATTCTTATCTCACATTCTGCTGCTGTCTCAGAACAGCACCCGATTTCAAGAAACTCATCGTAACTTGCGATGCATCGCAGGGCTGCGACCCATCATATCCCTACGTGCGACGTGCCATAGGTGTATTTATAGCACAACACAATGATTGTTATGTGTATAAAATAGTCATCTAGTATAACATAAAAACATGAAACAAAATGGCTGACATATGATGCAGTTTTAAGGAAACCAAACTCACAGTCAAGTGTTAGCTACTTCAAATTTCAACTATTTCCAGGCCACTTCATTTTTACTTTGATGCATATCCCATTTACAACTTCACAAACATTGTCTGGGTATTATATGGTGGTGTACCCTAACGTGGCGCACTTCGAAGCATACCCAAATTTCCTCGTGTAGTGTTGCCAAACCTCTTTGTTGACAAACCTCAAATTCATGCAGTGAAATACTGGTACTTTTACCTTATTAATGCTTGCTGTTTAACCTCTGTGAACAATTTCGGTTTCATAAAATTTAAGCCGAAATTAAAAAACGGTGGCGTCCGGAAATTGGGCACAATTTGGCGGAGTGTTCCCTAACGTGGCGCACTTAAATAAATCTCGGAAAATTCCAAATTAACATTTAAGAATTTCTGAAAACTTGATAAATTCTGATAAATCATTATTATCTCTACTTACATACCCAGCCAGATGTTTGTCACAAAATTATTTTCTTATTTTTCGGGGCATTTTCAAAGGGTTCACTTTGCACTTGAAAATAAAATCGGAAAATCACGCCAAAATAAGTTTTTCTTTTAACTTTGTAGCGGGTAAATAAATTCGCGATTTATGAACGGGAGTGTTTATAACTTGATGAAATTTCACTTTCTGTGAAATTTCAGTTAAAACTTTTGCTCTAGCTAGGCGCTACAGGCGAAAAATCAAAGTGCGCCACGTTAGGGGCCGCGCCACGTTAGGGTACATCAACAATAGTCTTGTTTATTAAATTTTTATTGCATACAACTGGCTAAGAAAAAGACGTTCTTATTTTGCGATGACCAAAAGATACCTCGTAACTTGCGAAGTGTTTTAAACCATTCGTAGGTTTTGTGAAATGGATCATACGACACATTATGTTTCATTACTTGAGTTGCCATGCCTTTTGAGAACTCGAGGAAAATCACAAGAATGTTTTAATTTGAAATACCAACAACACACTCTTGCCAGGCGACCAGCCTAGGTATGTTCCCTGTATGGAAGCACAGGTCTTATTGTTATAAAACTATAACTAACGTACAGCCTTGTTCAAATAAGAACACCATGAAATGATGTCACTTTTGCACATGTGTCATGTTCCATTATTCTCAAGTATTCGGAAAGAAACAGAAATGTTCAGAGTTAGAGATATGGCAAAGGGCACTAAGATATGACCTAAATCACCCCATGTTATTTGGTGAAATGAATCCACTATTCTGTTGAATCTCAATGCAATGATGTCAAGCTAGAAAGAGACTTCTTCATTTTTTTATGAAGATAACAACTGGACACTTGATGGCGTAGAAATCTGTTGTACATTTCATGTCATACGGCACAGATTCAGCTTTTTAAATGATTTTTCCATTTTTGTTTTGGTTATACAATATTTCAATAATTATTAGAAAAGCGTTCCAGCTTTGCACATGCACATTTGATGGTGCATAATGCCCAATCATGTCAGTCGACATGGAAAATGATGGAAAGTGATTGCTGCTACATGATTGAAGGCATTCAAAACTTTTGAGTTTGAACATTTGACACTCACCAAAGTAGCTATCAAACACAAAGAGGGAGATGACGTAAGCTGTCATACTAAAAACCTCAGCTACTAGCATCATCCAGTGCCATGTACGGATGGTTAAGGCTACCATTAGTAGCTCTGTAATGACCAATGATGTGAAGGAAATTGCCACGATATGGATGAACTCTCCTTCAAAGAGATAGAGTGCTCCATACATGATGATACCACCCTGGAATATGCTGATCAGAACCCAGAGGAAGAACATCTTAAACGAGAGCTCTCGACCCTGTGGCAGTAAGGTACAACATATTCCTGTATTAGTGGGACTACTAAGTCTATTTTTCAAGATCTATTTCCGTATAATACTGTATGTATAAAGAATTGAATTATTATAAGATAATGAATGTAAAAGCAACAAAAAGTGGCAAACACATCTAGCCATAGTTGATTACTGGGATTATGGATCTTTCAGGTCCTGAGGTCTGGCGGATAGCAGGGGATGCCCTTTTTAGCACCCATAATGATTCACACAGTATTTGGATACAGTATTAAGGCACAAAATGCTCAAACAAAATATTGTCATTCCATTTTACTGCACAAACGTTTTTGAAAAGTGCCTCATAAAATTAAAAATATTGCTTTGATTAAAGTAGAAATCATATACATCTGAAAAAAAAGGACAAATTGCAAAGCAGTGTTGTGGTCGAGACCCTGCAAGACAATGACAAGACCAACACAAGAACTTCAGTCGCAATTCCAGTCACAAGCTATTCAAAATGAGCTCCAACAAAGGCATTCCTTTGTCATTGTTTGTGCCCTGTTACTTGTGGCTGGTCTTGTGGCTGGTCTCGATTACAACACTGATGTTGGCTGTGCATTGCACAGCCAACATGCTTCAAAACCAAGCTTGCTGTGGTACGATAAAGTTTGTTTGGCTTTTCTATTGTATTGAAACTATTCCTTGCCAAACAGCACACGTGCATCGATCAGTCGATGTCATCAAACATTGTGGCCTAGTGCCAGTTGCTGTCTGTTCATCTAATGTGGGCATTCATTCTGCCTGCAAATATTTGGGTACTTCTCTAGCTCATAAAACCAGTGCACTACTGCGGCATGCTGTACAAATACAATAGAGCATGTGGCAAAAGCGATATGAATGAATCAGTGTTCCTTTCTCTTTCTTTGGTCTGAAGCAGTGTGAATCGTGTATTAAAAGCTTGTGTTACCACTTGGAACAATTGTTTTTCATCGAAATCAACACTTTTTTGTGGCAAATTTTTAGACAGCAGATCCGTAATCCAAGTAATTAAAAAAAAAAAGAGGTTTATTCTGGCAAAATACATTCCAATGTTAACGTTCCTTATACCCACACTTCTCTAGCTCAGAAAACTATTAAACATGCAGGACCCATGCTTTGGAACATGCTTAATGATCAACTTAAAGCTTCCAAAAATATATTTCTACTTTCAAACGTGCATTATTTATTAATGTTTTATTGGAATCTTATTGTTAGTGAGTGTTCTACATTCAAGCCATATTGTCTGCTGACCTGATAAGACCTTTTTGTTGTAGCTGTCATTTTGAAGTCTTTGTCCATTGTTTATGTTAGTCCACATTCTTGTATATATTGTACTTTGCAAACATGCATGTGCATTGAGACCTACAATTATATTTTGTTCATTGCATGGTTTGATTAGCATTCTTTTATTCCTGTCTCAACGCATGTGCATGTAAACAAGGGACCAATGATACACGCCTTGCTTTTTAAATGGATCCCTCTGCAGTATCACAATTATTTTGCATCTGGATTTCTTGATATCATATTTTCTGAACAAACCTGAACCCTGAATTTTAATCTTATTGTGTTATTACACCCCCTAGCTGTGAACATTCAAAAATTGCCTGCAACATCAGTATTTTCAGCAGTATTAACTTTTTGTATGACTTTCAGTTACAACTGGTGATAAGCACTGTGTGAGTTTGATGTCCTGTATATTTGCAAGGAGTAAATTACTTCATCTGACCTTGATCAGATCTTTATACAGCTCTGGATATCTCATCGCTGTCTCTGCAGTCACATCTTGATCAATGACCAGCAAGAAGACTGGGAACATGGTGTAAGCAGTCACATAGCTAAAACAAAATCAAAAGGCAGACAAATATGAGGCACATTCACAAGTTTACACATGACTTCACTGCAATGGATGATCTGCCAACCAACAAGGCTGTCTACAATTCACAAATCTAAGAGTTAGTTTGACATTGATTTAAGCAGAATTTGAGCCAGGACTGTAAGAACAGAACTACGCATCTCTCATGGTGATGGTCTCCAACAATCAATGTTTATGTTGATGGATGACGAACCCATTAGAGAAATGTAGTGTTGGATCATGTCTGATGTGCAATGCTAGCAACATCAGCAATAATACCAAAACCTATGACATGACAATCTGGGATCATTAAGGCTCATTAAAAACCATGAAATGAACCACAATGTACACGATGCTCACTGGCAATCAATATTGGCTTGCTGGTCTCATAAGCATATTGGCAATAACATGACAATTGAAACTTACCCTACAGTTAACACACCCTGGTAGAGTGCAACAGACGAAAAGTAAAAGATGGAGGAAAATATAGCTTGCATGACTGATATGATGAGGCCACGATGCATGACAAAGTGACTCAAGGCACCAGACCGCTTGTAACTATTACGACCATGGACCAGTAGCAGACGGCCAACATAACGGAACTGAGTCAGTGAGAAGTCAGCAGCTAGAGAGGCTTGTCGTCCTTCCTAGAATGATCAGGAATATTCATAGAGTTATCAGAACAAGATCAATTTTGATTACAATAGTCTACTTTCTCAAAAGTATGATGTTTGAAAGCTATAGTCCATCATTTGCAGCCATCCGAAAAGTAACTGGCGTAATTATTGTTGAAAAACATACCGGTACTTGGTTGAAAGATAGTAAGGGGACTAAACTCCCTGTGAAATTATTCTTTCTGGCAAGCTGTCATTTTGAAGCAATCAACGAAAGAAGGCCTTTCCAACGGTGCGTCTTAAGACGCACCGTAAAAAAATTAAAATTAGTAGTTCGTTTTGTTATTCGGCGAAGCGCGCGCAAGCATTGGCACGACGCACACGCGCGTGCGCTTGCTATAATTCGTGGGATCAGTGCGCGACATCGCGTATAGCTGCAATCGGCTCAGTGAGAACGTGTCTCGGACGCTGAATTGAGGCCCAATTCAAAACATGATTCAGCAACTTTAGATTTGAAATTGAGATCCTTTAGAATGCTGTTTTTCTTGGAATAAACAGCTGAAGCTGAGCTGAAACTTCATCAGGTTAGTTGTTCAGTATCCTTCATTAGATTTTGAACACTTTTGTTGCTTCAAACGAACAAAATGCACAAATTACAAATGATGGACTATATCTTTAAATCGCAAAGTTGGGCAAAAAAAACGAAACTTGGTGCAGCTGCATTCCATTCAAAATTTTTTTAATTATTTTTGATTTGCTGTTTGTGCCCAATTTGATATCCGCCTCAAAACAGCCACAGATGGATGAGACACCATGTTATCACCTTCAAAAACAAAGCTAACCTTGATAAGTTGGACAGTGGCAAGTTTGTTGACAATGACAATTAGGCTATATAATGATCCCTTTAAACTCTGTTTGTTGTTACTTATGCCACATAAAATGACTGTTTCAGTTGCATCATTATTTGTTGAATAAGTCACAGGCTTATATGCACTGCGAAACTTTCATATAATGTGTGATGACCGAAATATCGCATAATTAGAGTTCATGTACTGCAAATTTTTGAAATTTTTAAATTGGAATGTTGTTTAAGGGTCAACTGTTAAGGGAGCTGTTTAAGTCAATCACACGTTTGTCACAAGTAACACTGTATGAATAATGACAAAGGAATGTCATCATGGCAGCCAAGACTGGAGACTGGATGACAGGTTATTGGCATAGTTAAAGGCTTCTATAACATACATGATGTACTCCTATGGAATATAAATTCAATATTAACGCGCATTAAATATAAACAGGGGCTTCTGTCAACTCTGTGCTGTTATTCTGTAAAGTAATCACATTTAGGGTGGATTTTTTTCCTCACATTAAATCCCATAAGCTACTAAAAAAAAAGGCCAACAAATACACTTCTGTTGGTTTGGCAATAAGTTTTCTGTCGATAGCTCATGTTATAAAAAAAAGGGCATGGCACAAATTTAAATACCTCACATTTGAAAGTTTCCTCAAACTGTGCACTGATCCCGAAAAATCTTTTCAGTGCCCTTACATCGTTGGGGTGTAAGTCATATGCTATCATAACTTCATTAAAAAAAAAAAAAATCATTAATGAAATCTCCAGAGGGATCCAGTTTGTCTGCGCATCTTTTGTACAAGTTAAAACATATGAACTAATTAACAAAAAACCTCTCTTGGCCAAAAACATGAGCCTTTATCTCTGCCTTGAAAACAAAAAATCACAATAACACTTGCATTTCACATGTAAAAACAAGGTACCAAAATAAATACCTAAAATACATAATTTTAGGGCCCCCCCCCCCAAAAAAAAACATTTTGACAAAAACTCAAGGCTCAACTAGATTCCATCTTACTGACACATACAAATGAAAGGTCTTGTTGTCTCTTATATTTAAGTAATTTGATACCACATTTGAGTTTGTGATGGTTGCGGTTCTGAAGATTTCATAACGTTTCCACTTTTCAGCCATGCCCACTATACAAATACAGATACAGATGTGAAAATAGCCTGACTAAACCGCTCCTTTGTTAATGCTACTTGTGAATTGACTTGTGCTTTACCTTACGATAGACATAACTACAACTCTGCAGTCAACTGTAGCCAGCTTCCTTTGACCTTCATGTGTGCTGTGCTGATTTGGTACATCAATACCTTTTGCTTTTGGCACAACTACTTTGAATGACTTTACATTTTAGCCCTCGACAGTATCATTTGTGATATATTGTCGACACAACCGTCACCTCTGGCGAATACCTCACACAGAGCCTCACATGACATAATACACACAATTTGAGACAACACGTTATGGCAGTGCAAACAGACACGAAGCCCAGATTATTGATTTAAGTTTACATGGTGCTATGCTTAAAAAATGACACTTTTACAATTTTCACTTTCTAAAGTGCTTCAATAAAAGTGACATAAATGTATCTACTAATGTACATTATTACATTATTCTAACCTTGTTGGCTCAAAACCCCTGACCCATTGGATAATAGCTAAAGGAAGAAGTCTTGTTGGCTACTGACCTTTCCTTCAAGACCAACGCCAGCATTGGCTGCTTGGATCATGCTTACATCATTACCACCATCACCTAAGCAAGAATACAAAACATCCCGACAAATTATGACCACTGAAATACAATATTATCTGGCACAAACACAATCATCTGGATATTTGTATTTATTAACACCTTAGATAATTGGGCTATTCATATGCAACGTTTTCCAAACCAGTTTCAAACTAAGCTTCAAACAGGCCTATGCAACATGTATACTTCAGAATCCCGGCCTGGACATTTCTCTTCATCTTCTGGAGGCTACCCACATGTGATGGACCAGTACTTACAACAAGCATACTTCACAGCCTGCAAGTGCTGACATTCGTGTGCACTTCACTATTGCATTTAATTTGGACATTTGGTCTATTAGAAATGACAATATGGCATTTTAATACCTCATTTCTGGAAGTATGTGCCACTTGGATATTTTACATTACATTGGTTTATTTCAGTTTCCAAATGTATTATATCATACTGTGCCAAAAAGGTTTGGACAGTTTTCAGAATAGTTTTCTAGCGATGTAGATTAGTGTGCCATTACTTTTGACTATGTTTCCAACTAACCTATTGCGCATGTTCTCTTGCCAGTGTGGGTCTTAAGAAGCTCCACGATGTCAGCTTTTTGCGTTGGAGAACAACGACAGACGACTACCGCTGGGCACTGACAGGCTAACTCAATGAACTCATGCTCATAGTACTTCAGACACACCTATTAACAAATGAGTAATATTGAGTTGATAAGTTTATTACATTAGTCAAATGCCATGTCTCCTAGCAATAAAGAATAGTTTTATCCTAGTCAGTTATCCCCAGTGTTGCAGAGTCAATCTAGTATCAATAACTAACAGACTGAAAATAGGCAACGGAGTAACCAACTAGTCCGTAAACCTCCAAAATGTACAATTTGTTTATTATTTCAAAAGACATAATACAGTGGAACGTCGCTATACTGAACACTCGGCTATACCGAACATTGTCTTTGGCTCCCGATTTTTGTGTACAAAAGGTACTGAACATTGTTGTTGAAAAATATAAACAGGAAGTGACAAGTGACTATCATTTGCCCAAGGAATAGAAGGGAAAAGCCACCTATTGCCGAATGAAGTAAGCTCAAAAATTGTGTGATTACATACTTCAATTGTCGGCATGAGTTCACAGTCTTCTTTCAGTAACTACATGTACCAGGGCATGCAGGGTGAAGTTCTGAAGAGTGCTGTTTATTGAAAAGTGAGTACCGGAGCATTGCCACCTTAAAATCGATATACCGAATGATCACTATTACGAACAACTTGTGTGGATCCCGCGGTGTTCGTTATAGCGGCGTTCCACTGTATTACAAGATGGTCATATTAACAATTATGACACACCTCTTGCTTGTATAAATGCGGTCACATGTGATTCACTAATATATGCTAGTGTATGAAACTTGCGTAAGCGTGAACTAGACGCACGTCGAGACATCGCGCGCACGTAATTTCCGGTTTATAGTGCCTGATCAGGCACTATACTCAAACATTTTTGACTGGTAACAGCGCCCTCTCACAAAACTCAAACTCAAAAATTTAATCTAGGGAAACTAAAAGCGTTCCTTTAATTGTTGAATCGCTTACAGTTGAATTACTCACGACTTAACTGTTAAATTAAAACAGTTCGATAATAAAACCCTGAAAGGTTTATTTTCTTATTTTTTATTTTGGACAGAGGTGAGTTATGTGCACGTCTATGCCCCCTCGGGCCTGTGAGTGACCTGAAGAGGGTCCTATTTCCCGAGGCCGAACCCTCTTCTGGTCACTCACAGTCCCTCGGGGCACATAGACGTGCGCTAGTGACCTCATTGCCAGTCTATATGTATACTAGAAGACAGGCTTTGTATTGAACAGGCATGTTTTCCCTATTACTACAAATAATCTCCAATATTTGCAATAATCATCAAAACTAAAAAAACCCAGAGAAATTCTGATTTCAATACAAACAAAAATTGCCCGATATAATAGCATTGTACAAGATTAGATGATCTCAATGTAGTTTATACAGGGTTTCCCCAAAAAAGATAACCCCAAAACAAAGGAATAATATGAACAAACTATGAACTTAATGACAATTATTCTTGGAAGCATTCCTCTGGTCTTACATCACTAAGTTCCATTGTTTTAAAGACGGTATTTGAAAACCCTATTTGGACAGTTTAGCGTAAAACACAACCAGACACAAGACAAATAGGTCCAAAGGATATTCTAAAAAACGTGAATACCTCAGAATTTCCATCAGTTAACAATCTTGTGCCTCAGTGCCAATTGTATTTTGAACATCAAGGAAATGGTACATGTAGCTTCCAACATCAATGGCAGGCACAAGACGATGCCCTAGCTCACAGACGCATTGCTGTCAGTTATCGCTTCAGGGTCTTTGGAAGGTCTACAGAGTATCACACTGAATCATGCTGTGGAATGACCTCCCAGGTCAATGGATTTGACTCCTTTATACTTAATTTTTTTTTGGGGGGGGGCGGGTAGGATTTAAAGAACAAGATTTGCAGCAGCCCACCTCCGCACCTTCCGGATTTGCAGGTCTGCATTTAGCACAAGGTGGACAATTTGTATGATCAATGTGCAACGGTGACATGGGCTATACAAAATATTTGCCACTACTGAGGACTTTGTGCTGAAAGGGCAGGTGGACATTTGGAAGGTGATACTAAGAGGTGTTGAATCCTGAATGATTCAGATTATCAATTGGCAGTTAATGTGTTTTGTTAATGTTTTCATAAAGTTAAATATCCCTAGAAGCTACTTGTCTTATGTCTGGTTGTGTTCAGGCTGTTTTACCCCCCACTGTCCCAAGAGGGTTTTCACATACCATTTTCAAAACAATGGAACTCAGTGGTACGTGACCGGAGGAATGCCTCCCAGATATCAATGAAATGCTAATGACCATAAAGCTCATTGCTTGTTTGTATTATCCCCTTATTTTTTGGTTACCTTATTTTGGGACAAGCTGTATAACTTGAGTACTCACATCTAGAGACTCGCCCATGATGATCAATGCACAGTCAGACTTCCTCCTAAAAGCATTCAGCTCAAGATGAGCTTCTGAGCGATTGCCCACCTTCTTGAATATGTGGATGTCTTGACTGCGGGATACTAGCTTAGCGCTCTTGGCTATGCATGTAGCTGTTTCCAACTTATCACCAGTCAACATCCAGATCTATCACAGTCAACAAAGAGTTGTCTGTTGATGAGGTTTTCAATTCCAGGTGTACTGAAGGGACAGAGACCTTCTTTTTTTTATTTGAAATAATTTTGACCAACAATCATTACATATGCCAACATTTCACTCTTTTCATATGGTGAGCTGATGCATCATCTCAAATGTCATAATGGCAATTCATTCTGTACTCCAACAGTTCAAAAGAACTTGGGTGAAATTCTAAACAAATGTCTACACCTATCCCTTCAAAGTTTATCATTGTATATTCATTATTTTTTACCGAAGAAAGAAAATATGGTAATAGGAATGAGTGAGGTACCTTAATTCCTGCATTTCTAAGCAGCTCTAGTGTAGGTCGTACATCTTGCTGTAGTTTATCTTCAACTCCTGTCAAGCATAGTAATTCCAAGTCTCTCTCTAAACTCTCTACTACAGCAGCAACTTTGGCTGTTCTGTCTACAATGGTCAATTTGGCTTGGTGGTAGCGATGCTGTCAAATTGTAAAGATCAAACATACACAAACACATCAATCCATGAGACTTAAACTTCATGGAAATTGAAATTCTCATATTGATTACATAGAAACAATAGTTGTATATAACCCTGTATTTTGTGCTGTGTGCTGTGCTCTCATTTTTACGCACATTTCTCTCGTCTCAATTTCATAACAACACAAGTAAAGAGCATAAGAAGGTGGTCTTGCAATAAGGCTAACATGTGGATTGCTGTATATTTTGGGCATTGCACGTACAGTGCTCTGTGAAGTTGTGCCTTACTAATAATTATTGTGACAGTTATAAAAAGACACCCCTGTTATTTTTTGGTTCAACCTTATTTTCATGTAAATTCAAATTAACCTAGCGCCCCCAACGTCTGATATCGGGCGCTAGCTCATTCGTTAATTCCCGAAGACCTGAAGTAACATCACTTCATGTCAATCTTGTCTTCACATATACAGGTAATTATTACTATCTATTTATTTTTGTTCTTAATCTTTACATCAATAACCTTAGATGACATCACAATTCCTCGACTACCCATTTCTGTTTGCATTTCCTTATTCTTGTATTTAATGGTATTTTAAACTAAGTTCTATTCTTGAAACGTTGAAATTCAAGATGGCCGACCCCGCGAAAGTTTCGGCGGGAAAACGTACTATTGTTTAATCATTTGAATGAATCATTATTATTTCATGAACTGAAAGTAATTCGAATTCATCTTGCTGTAATCTTACTAATTAATTGTAGCCATTTTGTAAATATATTTTGATTATTCGTTATTTCCCGAAGACCTGAAGTAACATCACTTCATGTAAATCTTGTCTTCACATACGGAATAAATTCGCTGCTGCATATACCACAACTCAAGAGCTTCCGATCCCTAATTTCAAGAGTGTCACATTATAAAATGTGTCACATTATAAAATGTGAGCCCGTCACGTGGCCGGCCTTAAAGGGATGATAAAGACATGGCTAGCTGGTCTTAAACACTTTTCCAGTGTCACATGAAATCTGGACTCCCATGAAATCCGGTGCCTTTTAACGTTTCATTGGTCGAACGTTCACATTCCTCACGTATGCATGCGCAATACTACCAGTGAATCAGTATTTCATGGTCCGAAATTCACACTACACCAGCCTAGCTGCGTTTTGCGCGACATCGCGCAGTACGCGCGACGTGCACGTCAAAGTCTTTATAAGGTAACAAGTTGTGGAGGGGCATTCCATATTATAGTCAGAGGGGTTTTTCGTAAAACATGAAGTAAAAATGTTGAACAAAATCAGTTGGCAACGTCTAGTTTTGACTTGTTTTGATTTTTGGACCGAAAAGATTTGGTTTTTGATCAAAAAGGTATTTATGAATGGGAATAAATATGTGTTTGGTCAATATTAAACACTCTATTTAAGACCGGTGGGAGTCTGGATGGGTGATAATTACCCTCGGCGGTCTTAAACAGAGTTTTATAATACCTTCCGAACACACATTTATTCCCTTAATAACACCTGATATTTCATACTGTCAACGGTGTGGCCTTTAAATGGGTAACCCATTCATTTGTTGTGTTATCTCACCTCAAAGTCGGCATATTGGTCTTCTGTCAGTACTTTCTTTCCAACCACCAGAGTACGGAGCCCTTCACGTGCCATGTTACCACACTACAATATAAGCATATATACAACTATCAGCACTGCAGCACACACACTGCATAACACTTGTGGGTGTGCTGATCCAGAATCAAATGGGCTGTGGATTAGTATGTACGCCTGTCCAAAATTGACACTGAGGTTAATAGAACAGTAACATCATCATGTATGTGTCAATATAGTTTTTAAGATAGCTGATATTTACAAGATGCAAACTTATAAGATTAATATAACATCAGACACACTTTTCTTCATCTTCTCTAGACCACTCACTTTCTTTTTAATATTCCAATCAGATAAAATGCTATTTCGATATTTAGTGAGTGACAGAATATTCCAATATGGGGTATATTTGGCAGAGCCCTGTGCACCCTATGTACATACCTCTTCCTCTAACCAGTCATTGTATTGCACAATGGAACTCATAACAGTATCTGCTCCCTTCATGATGAAAACGATTTGACCCGTCTCCTCCTCCTAATATAATGCACAAGGAAAAAATACACTTCTTACTTCAACAAGACATTACTGCCTTAGGCTCATACTTACTCCATTAAAAAAGTAATAGTGATAATACATTCAGTTGCTAAGTATGACAACATTTTAATATAAACAATGGCCATATAACAAATCTATAGTCACTTGAAGGTGGCCTGACAAGGTGATTGTTGAACATATAAAATGTCCAGCATCTGTGGCTAATGCCAAGCATTACCAGTCATAACCACCATGTATGGCAATCATCTTGCACATGAAATGCATCTGGAATCCCATACCGATATGGACTAACTATTGAATGACCTGCATGTTTATCCCTGGTAGTGACACCCCAGCGGACATTACCAGATTCATGGATGTCTCCTTGACTCCAGGTCCACACAAACATAAAGTTAACAAGGTGGTATTGAACAGGTTGACCATACTGTGAAGAATTGTAAAATAAAATCACCAGTTTTAATCTACAGCCGAGATCAGCTCGTTAGACTATGGAGGTCATACTTTCTTAAATCTGAAAAATTACAGTTACTAAAACAAAACATTCTACTGAGATTAAGGGGCAGTGCCAAACAGAGTTATTCTCCAACTTCAACATTTTCAAAGGAGGTTTATAATCATGAGAGTGACCGACCTCAAGTATTCCATTCAAGTCATTGTTGGCAACAAACATGCTGATAAGTACTGTAAATCAGAACACCTGGTTTGCCGTACTCAGACTCAGTACTCAAACAACTTCCCAGGGATCCAAGCCTGTCATCGCCTACATATAAGCCTGTCCAAAACAACCTCACTGTCCTCCCATGCTTTTCTTGACTAACACATGCTCCGTACTCAATAGGTAGAACTGAAGCTCTGCAGTGAACAAGTAGATGTTGCAGTAATTACTGAATTGTCGATTACAGCAAAGACCAATATTCTGTGAATGTTTTCAGAAAATGTATAGACTAATTCAGCCAAGGCCATTTTCTACGATGTGACCAGCTCGCACAAGGTGCATTCAGGTAATAAGCAAACACTCTAGGCTCCTTCAACCAACAGGGTTACCAAACTGCGCGTCTGCTTCATCTTTATGAACGCATGCAGCGTGTGCGCTGATGTGGCGCCGCCTGTGAAATGGCTTCTAATTTTATTCAATGAATTACAATATAGCTGGCAGGAGTGGTGGCTGTGAGTTGCTGTGCATACAAACTACTCTTATAGATGACATTGCTGTTAAGGATGTGACTTTGCGTTCAATTTTGTAAACGTTTAGGAAGTATTTAAAGAACCGTTTGAACGTTTAAACATTTCACAAAGGCCGACGCCTGCCCATCATTCATAGTTTTTTCCGTGTACAAAGTCAATAGAGGCCATCACAAAATCCAAGATGGCAGCGCCCATAGGATGCAAAAGTGACAAAAAGTTAGTGCCGAGTAAAAGCTCCTCCAGCATTTATTACAGCTTGGCACTGCCGCCTCATTGACATCAACAGATTAGCAAGAATCTGATGATCCAGGCCATACCAAATTTACTGAAGAATTTGAAACAACTCTGCTTGATTCCGTGGCCAAACTTGGCGATGGAGTTGCCTTTCCAGCTTGTTCCACAAGGTTTGTGTGCTACCATGACGCCATGCTCACAGAACACACACACACACCAGTTGTTCAGACAGACCTCGGATTTATGGAAGGACTGTCATAGGTTGTTGCTTGGCATTGGTGTCTTCTTAGAGGAAGCTTCAGGTGTTGGTTTCTTTCGGGGATCTTCAAGGCCCACGGCTGGTACCCATTGGCAAAGAGAACGTTTTTGATGTGGTGGAACTCAGTCTTGCGGTTTTCCTCCTCTGTGATAACCTGGTTGATCTAGTGTTAAAGAGTTCGAACCACTGACTTTTTGTACGCCAGATGGTGATTTGAGCCAACAATCAAATATTGGTCACTGTGGGTCGTTTCCTGTAGATGGTTTACTTTGGTGGATCCGTCACCCTTAAATGTGAACACAGGTGTCCAGGGACAAAAGTTTGGAATCTGTCTCTGGCTCCATATTAAATCTGATGATGGGATCAATGCTGTTGATGTGTTTGGTGAAACCTTCAATTGCCAACTCCTGTACCTAGTCATCCATATAGCAGTACCATCAGTTTGGAGGGTTAGGGGCAGTAGATAAAGCTCGGCATTTGAAATCCTCCACATACAAATTGGCGACCGATTGGGATACTGGGGAACCCATTGCAGTCCCATGTGTCCTGCTATGAGCTCTTCAACTCAAGTCCTCAAAAAGGTACCTTTATTGAGATGCAATATTGAGACTGGAAACGAACTTTCGTGCTCAGTGTAAACACATTGTTTTGGATTTTGAACAAAAACAAACAAATGCCTTACCCTGACAATGATACCCATGCGCTTGGTCTCAGAAGTGAAAGGGAAGATCTGCAAGATGGAGTAGTTATGGATGTTCCCAGTTGGTGTCCGTAATGACATGGAGTTCAGGTTTCGTTTCACCAAAGCAAGACCCATGTCCTCAGTCCATGATACTAGAGCAACCTGGTTGATGACAAACCATGACAAGATTAGTTGGAATGAACATGACCCCGACATTTGTTGTTGTAATACTATGGTATTCGATAGTGAAATATTACTGGTTGAGAACTGTTGATGTAACATATTTCAGAACTAATTGACCTAATGGACATTATCTAATATGAACACCTGGTAAATCACATTGATTGTTCTCAAAGGCTTTTGTATATTTTTATCCTGCACTGTTACACATAGACAGAGTAGATCCAGTGCACAATCTAGGTACTGTATCCCACAACATGCATGTGTCAACCATGTCAACACAGAGTCATGCACATTTCAATGCAGACGTACGTATTAACAACCGAAGCATTGGACTTCACAATTTAAAAAATGAGTGAGGGCATCAAAATGAAGCCAAAAAAACTGTACAAAAAAGTCCCTGCTCATTTTCAAAAATATCCTTTTATTAGCATTTTCATCCCATCCCTTTTGATCTATTGTACGCAGCGCGCACGCTAAGACGCGCAGTGGGCCGGCGCTATACGATCTTTGAGCTATTTAAACCATAGCATGTGTTATAGCAGTTAAAATATTGCCTTGGAAGTTGATGCAGTTGCCTTGATGATTTTCTGCATTGTTTTGAGAACTTACAATGTTAATTTGCATTGTTGTCAATGATTTGACTTTTAAACCTTAATTGTTAGCATTGAAAAAGCTGAAAAAAAGTAGTGGATATAATACAACGTTGTGAGTTTTGTTTGTTCTTAAAGTTTTATCCTCCAATCGAATGACAAAGATCTACTTGGATGTTATACAAAACAAATAATGAATTTTTTGCATTCGTGCAATGGTGAGAATATTTTCATTCGTTGAAAGATGGAATGTTCCATTCAACTCCGCTTCGCCTCGTTTTGGAACATTCAATCTTTCAACTCATGAAAATATTCTCACCATTGCACTCATAAACAATCATTATTTGTATAATGTTCGGTATAGCGGCGTTCCATCATAGCAGAAATACTAAGCATAAAGAATGACACTTACAACAAATACAGCTGGTTAAAATCTTAGACACATTTTAAGGGTTGAGATATTTCAGATATTTCACAGAAGGCTGATTTTACCTCATCAGGACTGGATGCCTGGTACACCACCTTGCTCTCATTAGCCTGATCAGCTTCAGTCTCCTCTGGATTTATCTCTCCATCTTCATATGTAGGAGTTACGTTGTGACACAGTGCTATGGCCTTGACTGACTCATAAACCTTAGTCACCACTGTCCGTCTAACAGCTGGTTTACGGGATGGGGTGGTAGTTGCAGGTATAGTGGGTTGGGAATAAGAAGTCAGAAGGTGTGCCCGCAGCTCATCAGAGGAATCTTGGCCAAATGACACAGTCCCAAGGTGTAGCTTTTTGAACACCTATAATATCAAAATGTACATATGTAGGATGTCTACATTCAATGTCTGCATTGTTTAGTAACTACATGTATCACATTTCCCGGACTTTGATATAACTGCTAAAACTGTTAATGGAATTACAGGGAACACACATCTAAGAGTTTACGATATTTTTGTGTCAAAATTTGAACCAGCCAGGCAACCCTAGCCAGCTCACTGGTGGAGTGGCCAAGATGTCTGCACTGGCAAGCAGGAGGTCATGGGTTCATGTCCTACCTCAGCAAGCACAGCAATTCTTCTCGTAAACTCTTGGACAGGCACTGGGTATATGCAGCTTATAAAACTAACATTTTAAAGTTCATGATGAAAATCCACCAAACAAAATGAGAAAATGTTTGTGCTTGGATGTATTTCACTGACATCTCATCAAACTCTCTGTGTTAGGGTGAGAGGTATTCAAATTGATTTGGTTGGGGTAGGAGACATTTTGATCTTTTTAATAAGGCATGAGAGCACCAGCACCTCACAAGTAATATTTGTTTTAATACCTTACCCCCATTTAAAAAAATCATGTGCAAAAAAAAAAATTGAGCCAATTTTTCTTTTTTTAAAGAAAAATAACCCATTTTGCATCCATGCCTACATCCCACACCTGGAAATGCCACTGGCAACAAACTAGACCTTGTACTTTCACATAGGTCATGGTGTAGCGGCCTGTGGCAACCTGTGCTAACCAAACTACAAAGTGGTGTGATGTACTATAATGGAACTGTTCTAGCCCAAAAATGATCCAGATTAAGTGAAAATTATTTGCGTTTTGAATCTATTTCTTACCATTTCATTCTGTGTAAGCGTTCCTGTCTTATCAGTCAATAGATAAGAGATACGACCAAGCTCTTCTGGTATGGTAGTGGTACGTACTACTGTCTCAGGAATCTCTTTGTCTCGTTGGATCAAGAAAGAATACACTATCTTGCCCATGTCTAAGTTAACACGCAAACTGATTGGCAAAAGATAAAAGAAGTTGCACAGATATACATAAACACAATGCATAAACATTTTCTTCTTCTACTTTTTTTATACATCATCCACATTCTTTCTTTGCCACATTCTAAACTTCAACACATTTCAACAAAGTTATTATGCTACGCAAATTGTCAGCTACATGTATTTCTGAGACAAGCTATGGCATTACTTACGCAGGTACATTATTTTAGGTTAGTTTAGGAAGGTTAAAATTGACACTTTTTCCCCCAAGGTAATGCTGGTTTCCCCACACAAGAATTTGGTGAGCTACCTTTTCGATTCCAAAGACAGGTTTGAAAAAGATATTTTTAATGGCAGGTAGAGCTAGTTAAAAAATAACCTATTATACTTGTTATGAGTAACAAAAACAATACTGCTTATCATTTCCCCAATGGTTTGAATTCTATTTTTTTTTTGTCTATTTAAATTTTTCCTTTATATGAAAAAGAGTAGAGCCCCAAGTGTAAATTGTTTGTCTTGAATAATCTTGATTTGTTACTAGCATACCTCAGCGGGATGATGGAGGAGAAGAGGAGCACATATCTGAAGAAGTACCGATACCATGGACCATCAAAACCCTGTCAAATTACAACCAGAAAACTATCACAAGCTTTTCTGCCTGAATATTACAAAAGCTTTACTGATGACAAAATCTCAATGGTTTCCCACTCATTGTATCAGGGCAGTGGGAGCTAAACATTGTGGTTGCGTATGTTTACATTCATATTGTAGCAACGTATGAGAACATGTAAGGAAAGGCAGGTCTACACCTCATCAAACATTGTGTTCACTTCTACACTGTAAAATCTCCAATGACTCAACATTTAAAGGCTGGATGATGCCTCTTAATGCAATAAGGGAAAATGGTGAACTTGCATTCTCAAATTTTCTTACCATATAAAAAACCTTTGCAACTGACTGAGTACATACCTTGAGGCTTATCATGAGAATGCCAAGTATAATAGTGCCAATGAAGAGAACTTTGGTCTGGGTGTTAATTTCTAGGTCCAGTAGACCAATCTTAGAGTGTGGGTAAGATGTGTTCATGACAGCTCGTGTCTCACGTCCTGTATAGATGACCACTCCAAGAGCCCGTCCTACATGTACAAGGGAAACAAATCACAAAGGTACCGGAATGCCATCACTCATTCTGTATGCGATCAACACAAATATGCACCCAGAAGGACAAGAAAAGTGAGGTCAGGCAACTCACTCATATCAAAAATGCGTAACAGAAATGCATGTTTTATAGCACTACTGCTCCCTACTGGTACATAAACAGCTAAATTAACAATGGAAATCCATGTTTTATCTGTAAAATGTTAAGGCAATCTTTCACACACAATTTGAATACATTCCAAATGGGATAACTAAAAACAAATGACAGCAAAGACTATTTAAAGTCCTCACGAAGAGAAAATGACTTCCTAGGATCTGGGCTTGAATTTCAGGTTGAAATCTGGATTAGAGGTATTTTGACAAGACCTGTGCCAAAAGATTTAGTTTGAATTAACAAGTTGCATATCTAAAGAGAAAGAATATTCACATTCATTGTACTATTTAAATGGGAAACAAAATATTGCATTTATGATGATCAAAACTTCTTACTGGGAACAATCAGACTTGTCCAAACAGCAATACAAAAAATGTTGGTACTTTGTAAAGACTATTGTACCAAGAGTGTACTGCAGTCAAAGAAAGCATCACGCCAAAACTGATATCACTAGACTCCGTCCAGTGACCCAGTGGATATTTCTAGCTCTCATTACACACGTTTTATGCTGAAATTGACACAATCATAAAGACACGGGAATTAGCTGTTAAAGGACCCCCCCCCAACAAATTTTTAAAAAATTGATAAGTATCCTCTCAGGTTACATAGGAAAGTGGCAAAGATATTGCCTGTCCAACCAAAGGAAGGCAAATGATAACTCACCAGATGCTACCACAGTGTTAGCCCAGATAGTGTTTTCAATACTCAATGTGTCCCTTGCTGTAGAACCCTCTGCTGAAGGCATGTTGAAGGTGCCAATGAAACTGTGAATATCCTTTTGTGGCTTCTCAGCATACACAAATGCATTCAGGTCCAACAAATCCTTAGAGCAAAAAAAGGAAACCAAACAAACAAGAAGACTGTCAGATATGCAAAAATAAACCTAACAAAACAAAACCAAAAAAGATGAATAATTGCTTTATAACTTTGCAAAGCACAAAAGCCTTCCTAGAGGAATATTTCAAGAAAAGCATAGGGGAGCCAAGGGAAGCTCAGGGAAGACATGGGACGATCAAGGGAAGCCATGGGACGATCAAGGAAAGACCAGGGAAGACCAGGGAAGACCAAGGAAGACCAGGGAAGACCAAGGAAGACCAGGGAAGACCAAGGAAGACCAGGGAAGACCAAAGATGATAAGGGAAGACAGGAAATATCAGTGATGACCAGAGAAGACAAGGGAAGACCAGGGAGGATAGGGAAGACCAGGGAAAACCAGGGGAGACCAGGGAAGACTAGGGATGACCAGGGAAGACAGGAAAGATCAGGTAAAACTGGAAAGACCATGGACGACAGGAAAGACCAGAGAAGACAGGAAAGATCAGTGATGGCCAGGGAAGACCAGGGAAGACCAGGGAAGACCAGGGAAGACAGGAAAGATCAGTGATGGCCAGGGAAGACCAGGGAAGACCAGGGAAGACAGAAAGAAAGGGAAGACCAGGGAAGACAGGAAAGATCATTGATGGCCAGGGAAGACCAGGGAATACCATGGAAGATAGGGAAGACCAGGGAAGACAGGAAAGACCAGGGAAGACCAGGGAAGACCAGGGAAGATAGGGAAAATAGAGAAGACTATGGAAGACAGGAAAGACCAGGGAAGACAGGGAAAACCAGAGAAGAAAGAAGATCAAGGAAGACCAAAGAAAGACTTTGAACCCTGAAACTTTGAGCAGAGACATTTCTGTCAATTTTGAAGTACATGTGTACCTCATCTCTTGCTAGCCTCTGGCAGCTTCCCACAGCTAGTCTCAGTTTCCAGTCCGTCTCTCCATCCAATTGGTCCGTACGGATGAAACAGGAACCTGAATAAGGACCAAGATAAAGTGTTATGTCATAATTCACATGTAACAGAAAGTCTGTAGGAGCCAAATGCCAATACAAACTCAGTCCAATCAACAAAAAGCACCCTTCATCATTTTTAAGTGTTACAAAAAGTTCAATAATATGTCTTTATTTGAGGGAAGGAAAGATTATAAAATGACCACATCCGTAGCAGTGAAAGTCCACATACTTCAATTTCTGCTGTGAATTTCAAGGATTCATTCTACAGCTAAAAAAATGTTGTGCTTACAGTCATCTTCAGTTTTGAACTTTTACTTCATGATTTTGTCCACTTTCTTCAGTAGATTCCATTCACAAATTGAAATCAGAATGGTTACTCCACTCATTGAGGAATCAATTCCCTGTAGTAGCCAATCCCAGTTCCTCAATTATACACTCCAGACACTTCAAAATCAATTTTATGTCATCAATGATTACGTATAGCAAAGGAATCACACCTCTTGATGACCTTGCTTGTTACTGATTCAATACTAGAGATATTACAGAGGTTTTCCAAATACTTTTTGTGCTGAGAAGATTTGGAGTTGGTTATGAACAGAATTGAAGTAGCTCTGATTGGAAAGCAGCATGATTTGCAAAGAGAGGCATTATAAAAACCTGAAATTTGCAATCTTCTTTTGCAACAGACTGTGATTGTGTATTTATATTCTTAGCACGTAAAAACAACGTTGTTCAGACTTTGAAGCATTTTCACACTTGCATTCATTTGAATGATTTATTATAGTTCCTGGATTAACTAAGTGGGTGGCCGTAAGTGAATATTCAAAACAAAAACAGTCTGTTTTTACACTAACAAAAGCTTTATAAGATGAAGAAGTTGGCAAATTACATGTATATCAGCCAGATTATTCTTTACTTTATTAAGCGAATAATCACAGGGGCCTGACACAAAAAATGACATTGCAAGATGAGTGATCATCTGGAACACACACGATTTCATATGAAGCAGAACTTTGATGATGGTACTATATATATTAGTTATTGGTATAGCCCTTATTACATGGTTAAACATTTAGAAAAATATTCATAATCCATTCATTACTGTTTAACTAAACCCACATTTTAAAGAATGGATCTTGTATTCCTGAGATCCAAATTCAATTTTTATTTCATAACGAATCAAGATTCTGTGTAAACCTATTGAAATTGCTAAGCATTAATTAGAAGCACCTTAGAACTGGATCACATCCCGGCAAATCGGATTAATTCATTTTAATTGACCAACATTTTTTTTATGGAGACAACCATATACAATACATTGTCAACCATGTGTTGTGTTTGATTTTTTCAATGTGCTGCTGGGACAAGTTCAGTGCTTAGCTCCTGTCATGTAACTTCACACATACTGGGCCAGCAGCAGCTGTTTGCTACATGTAAATCAATGAAACATATGTACACGTTACATGTGTACATGTATGAGTCGCTGCATGTACCATATGATAGATGTACATGTATATGTACGTGAATTCTACCGGTTCTAATACACAACATCTGCAAGAAGTCAAGGTGATAATCTGCATACTCAGTGAGATACACCACATGCACTATTTTTCTAAGACCAGCTGAAATCCGTGAACCATTGTTAATATGATGAGAGTGCTCATAAATACCAATTATTTTGTGCTCCATTTCATAAAACCTAGGTTTGGCAATCAACAGAGTGTTTATCATTCCAACAGTATACACACTTATAATGTTTATAAAGATAATCAATAAATATTACCATTCTTTTCTGTTGTCCTCAAGAACACCATGTCAGCAGGTACCCTCTGGTCCTACATAAAAAAATATAAAAAATCAACTTGTTACATGTATAAACACACACCAGAATATATGTTAACATATAGATTCATAAATTTATTAAGAGTGAAATGCAAGCAGTGGTGGCGCCAGACTCTCAACATTTTTTTTTTTGGGGGGGGGGGGAGGGATGGGTTGGCAAGGAAATATTTTTGCGGGGTAGTCAAAATAAAATCTGATATTCAAAATCTAAGGGGAAAGTAAGGAAGAGCCCAATAATGAAATGGCAACTAAAAGCCTGTGTATGCGCACGCATGCCCATTGTCAATGGCTTGGAAATAAGCCACTAGAGTAACTTAGAAGTATTTAGAAGGGTCATAATTTGTATCTATCAGAAATGTATCAAACTGCAGAATGGTATAACAAATGTATAACAAATATACAAAGATGTTGGCTGCACACTATCTACAGCTGTATATGGCTTGTTTTGTCTACCAAACAACCAATGTTTATAATGCGTTCATTGGCTCAAAATGTGTCCACAGAACCGATGATTCACTCTCTATCTTTAACTTGTTATGAATCTTAAATGCGAAGAAAATAAACATAATTAATCTTATATGTCGATAAAGTGTTGCAGGAAAACTGGGGGGGGGGGGAGGGAAACAATTTGGTAGGGCAAATCCCCCCATAGCATAGCCACTGTATAATCCAAGTCAGATAATATGCCCCCAATCATCTTGTTGAAATTTTTGATAGATAATAACCACAATAAAGTTTATATACTGAGAAACTAATACATACATGTACATGCATTCGTTACTTCCCGATTGGATTATTGTAACAGTTTATTTTCTGGTTTATACGATTATCAGTTCAAGAAATTGCAACATATTCAAAATGCTCCTGCAAGACTGGTTATCAGGAGAAAAATGGATCATCATGCAGAAATGACATCCACACTTCAGGTCTAGTTCAGAAACAACATTGGCTTCCAGTTACAGTGCGGGCTGAATTCAAGATCCTTGGTTTTATTTTTAAACTCATCAGCCATAGTGAGTCAGCGCCACAGTACCTAACAGAGCTAATATCAATTCATGTGTCCAACATTCAAACTAAAAGTTGTGATGGGATTAAGCTTAACCATCCTAAGGTTCGTCCAAAGCCTAGCAAGGCACACGGTGATCGTGCTTTTACCATCTATGCACCTACCGGTACTCTATTGGACAGACTTCCAGCTTATTTAAGAAACAATAACGAGGTGGGAAATTTTAAATCACAGCTTAAGACATTTCTTTTTAAAAGGCATTATTTTTTTTTAATTACTACTACTTTTTTTTTTAACTACCTGGTTTTCTTTTTATGTGGTTTTGATATTTTGTGAAGTGCTTTGAGTTTTATATAAAATGCTATGTGAAGAATTAATTATTATGTGTTGTAGCTATTTGTACGATTTTGAAAGATTCGTGACAATTTATGATTGCATATGATTATGAACCTCGCCGGTAAATCAGCTGGGACAGCCCATGTTTGCATCAAGATATTTGACAGTCATAATTGACAATGGTGGGAAAACTGTAGACATTACAACTTTCACAAATAATTAGACTGGTCTGTTTGTTCTTATTTGTTATAGAGTACTGAGGACTAATGTTGACAATGTACAATGCATACATTCGTGTAACAGGCAAGCATGGTGATCATGATGGAGCAGCGAATGCACCATGATCTGATACTCGCACACCAGTAGGCCTACACTTGGTTTTTAAAGTATCTTTCGCTAGGTACAATGTGATTGTGGTTACTTGATGCAGAAAACATACACTTAATCAAGTGCACTCTGTACGAGTCTAGCATGCTGACAACACGTAGCGCGAAACAAATGTTCTTATTGGCTCATGAGTGACTATCAAACAATGCGCTACCAATTATCCTATTTGCTTAAGGATGGCATGTAGCCGGGTTTTCATTTTTAAAATTTTGTTTCAATGCACACAACACAAAGATTTACTTTCTGGCCTACAAAGGAATGTAAAAACCAAGTTTTTCCCAAAACCTGACAAAGCAGGAATTCCGGCTTAAGGAAGACTGGCATCCCTGTAGTAAACATTTAAAAATGAACTCTACTGTTCGTATGTGTTTATCCAGAGTCTGGTACTGCATGCTTGACAATAGCACTGTTGTTTTATGGTTTAACTCATTAATCAACTAAATCGTGTTGATGTTTAGCCAGAATTTTCTCTGTAGTTACAACCCTGCTTGCTGTCAATAACCTTAGATCAAGAGTCTCATGTTTGTGCAAACTGAACAATACATTGTCCTCCAAACACCTGTCTTTGTGCAAGACTAGCAGACTGAAGAATAGTGAACAAAGGATTTGACAGGTAGAGAATACATGTTATTTAAAAGTCAACATCTGACTATAGAGTGGAATGTGGCCCTCATGTGCAAGAATAGGGCCCTTGGTCACCAGTGCGCATACCTGGCTATTCATGATGAGGTATTTGACGTTTTACTAAAGTGACAAATAAAAGAACCATCCATTAATAGCTTACCACACAGGAAGTCATTAGCATTCAAAGTGTGGACGATTACGTAGTGCATGAAATCAACAAAACACTGACCGGTTCCAAAGTCTTCTTCAAACTTTTTAACCCAAATATCATTACTGATGTCAGACACATTCAATAAAATGAAAAATACAGCTACATATACATGTACTAACAACCTGGTCAAAATTGGATGCATCCCAAGTGCACTCCTGACAACTCTTTTCTTGATGTTATCATACATTCATTAATACCTAAGACAGTTCACCCATTCCTATTGGTCGAGAACCCGCCACGTGGCTGGTTTTAAATGGTTGTGTCACATGAAATTGTTACTCCTTTGAAATCCGGTGTCTTTTAGTTACCATTTTATTGGTTGAACCTTCACAATGCACATACATGTATGCACCAGTGAGTCAGCACCGGTATTTCATAGTCCTAAGTTCACACTGCACTGTCACAGCTGCATTCTGCGCGACATCGCACACTATGCGCGACGTGCGCGCCCATCTCCATATAAGGAATTATTTACGACATTGACACGACCATGATATACATGTAGCCACAGGGGTGTTTCGAAAAACAAGAAGTAAAATTATTGAATAAAATGGTTGGAAATTGATATTTTTGACTTGTTTTGATTTTTGGACTGAAAATTTTTGATTTCTTTTTGACTCATGAGGTTTTTATGAATGCGAATACATTTTGTCATCTTCAATGTTGTTTTACCCCATAATTTCCCTGCCCTCTATCTACTACACTCTGGTTGGTTTTAAATATTGCTGAATATAGTTGGGTGAGTCGAATAGCCTAAAAGTGGACTTTTGTTCTCTTAATACAGGGACAGGTATCGGTAAGTATATAATCACTGTACAACGTCAAAAAACCCGACTGATAAAACAGAAATGCTTCTCATCCGTTTCGCTCCTCCAAATCATGACAGATTTTATCGATTATGTGAGAAGTTTGATCGGGTTTAGATGTCAGTGAAAATGTTGGAGAAAGGCAGACGAGAAATGGAGGATTTTCATTCACACAAACGAGAAGAGGAAGTATGCATGGTTTCAAATTCACCGGGAAAGATTAAGAAGCCATTTTCCTCTACTATCGTCGAGTCACATTGCGTCACATCAGTCAAGTAGCTGAATATTTTGAGCATGTGAAATTAAGTTATGTCACCCGCTTTGATAGCCACTTGGGTCAAATGTGTGACATTCTACCAGCCATGCACACGAATATATGTTCCGTTGGTGTAAAAAAAAAATCCAAGTGGAAATTATTGGCTGGTAGAATTACACAAAGGAATGTTGACAGTGAGTCGCTGTAAGTTTCCGCGAGGCCAGGGAAGAAAAGTCCAATGAAAACGTGGCTTATGAATGACCCAACCTAGCAAAGTGATATAGGGGTTGCCTATACCGGTAGATCCAACTAGTGCTGCAGCTGAACCGCCGAACCGAACTAAAAATAGCCGAACTTGGCCTTCCAAACCGAACCCGAACCGAACCCAAATGTCGGTTTGGAAGAGTTTGGCAAGTATTTGTTGATAGCGCTAGGAATGCTAATGCTTGCAATGAAAGGGCAAAAATAAAACGCACAGATGATTGAATTTACCGTGTTGACAAGTCACCGCATTCATCTTCATGATTTGCAGTATTCTACCAAGGCATACAATAGGATATCGGACCGATACGCTTTGAAAAAATCGTACGCGCCTTGCGATTTTCTCAATGAAAAGAGTGCTCTTTGCATTCATCCAGCATGGTCAGTTTCCGGCCCTGCATGCTGCGCCGTGTTCCAGCGTGACGTAGTACGTTTTAATTGCGGTGAAGGCTGTGCTTTCCTCGGCAAAATTCACCAGCATTTTCAGTTTTTTTCACCGTATCAGAATTTAAAAAAATACTTTTTATGGAGTCTGAAACCTTTCCCATGTTCAGAATAAGTTGGTTATTTTCGCAATATATTTTTTTTTGTAAAGAATGAATACGAAAAACAATGTAATCGCCCAAAAGAGGCTGAAACACCCCTTTACAAAATGGATCCATCCACACTTTTCCCACAGTACAGAATGAGAATTCATCATGGAGTTGCGAATCGAAAAGTTATTATTTTTTTACGGTAGCTACTTGTCAGCTTGTTGCTAAAAATAATTATGATTTCATAAGTTTTGGCACAGTAAAAGGACCTGTTTGTTCTGTTTTTAGTGCTCATCAGGGCATGCTGGGACAGGACGGAACTGGTCGGGAAAACCGTCAGCACGTGTGGGAAAATTTTATGGCGATTGTGTAGCATAGGGCCCCTGTTTTGTTTTGATCAAATTAGAGTCAAAAATGTTTTGTATTACTAGCAAATCACCTTTATAATCAAAAGCAGACTTTTGTCAATTCTAATGACACCCCTTTTGCAATTTTGAACAGTTTCTTGAAGTAGAAATCACGATTTTCCTGCGCGGTTTGTACCTTAATGCCGTGCATGCTCACGGTACATCGCACGGTGATCGCCATCTTTATCTTCGGGTTGCATGTTGTGTCGCCGCGCTGTCATCGTCATTTTACCCCCAAATTTCCCTCAAAAAAATTCAAAACCCTGCCCTCTATCTAGGACATACCTGTTTATTGAGAACCACGCCAGCCAATCGGAGTCGACTTTACTAAATCGTGTCATTTCCTTCCCAAATCAGGACTAAATGGTTTGATTGGTCAATTCGAATGCAGTGTTTTGTAATACAACAACAGCCGGGCGCGAGCATGTGATACATTTTTTCCCCCATTGTCTATATGACGCGCAACGGATGAATGACCGAAGAATATAGAAGACTGATTGGTCAAAATCTAGGAGGTCAAGAGGCGGGGTCTTGCCTAATTAATCAGCGAATCTGCTCATGCATAATAGACTAGCAACCTGACTGGTTCGCGTGAAACTTCTTAAAACTGCTTCTCAGCATGTGCATGTACTTTGTATTGTACCCAAGAAAGTGTACAAGGTATTCTGTGGCCCCAATAACGTTATACCGGTATGTTTCACTATTCTCAGTAATACCAAAAATAGTCTCTTTGTATTTTGAAAGCCCATGCCTCAAATATTTGTGAAAATACTTCTCTAGATAGCATTAGACAGGATTAATGTTATCCAATTCCTATGATTTTACTGTCAGTGGTTTGGAATTAAATTTCCATTTCACGAGTCTCTGATTGTTGACATTATTTTGGCTATGATTACATTACCTGGATATGGAATTTTGCTTCGGGGTGATGTAAATTAAATTAGGTTTTGCCCTTCACCGACGTATAAACACTGTATACTCAGTGTGTTACCTCCCGAGTGAAAGTTGGAAAAAATCACTCGGGTGGGATTCGGACCCACGACCTCCTGCTTTCAAGTGCAGACGTCTTATCACTCGACCACCGAGCTAATGGGATCAGTTGGCTGGTTCGAATCTGATGTACATAGCAGCGGGTACCGCATTAACTATATCATAATATGGAATTTTGCGTCGGGGTGATGTAAATTAAATTAGGTTTTGCCCTTCACCGACAGTAGCACACTGAGTATACAGTATACGTCGGTGAAGGGCAAAACCTAATGTAATTTACATTACCTGGAGTCAGCATGGAAACAATAAGAGGTTTTATATCGTTTACACGAGTACATGAGGTGTAAGTTTCTGCTTGAAAACATTTTGACATGCTTTGAAAATACATTCACATGTCAAATACCAGAACCCTTTCTTTGGGTGGATGGTTGTTCTACTGTTTCTTTCCCGCAACTGGACTAACATATTATATTACTTATATTCTTATCAATTAAAAGTTCAACACAAATATCAAACAGTCTTTATTTTGTTTTTGAACGGTATTTTTGTGGGAGCCTATCAAAATATATGTCCCCATATCAAATCGCTACGAATAACCTGTACATGTATTCCATAATCATGGTGAAATGCAAAATTAATGGAACAATCAAAAGGTCACAATTACCAATTTATTGTACATCTTTACATTGCTATCAGAGCCAGTTATGTGACTTTTTTTTTCAAAGCAATGTGAACAGGGCTGAATGACACAGGCTAAAATGCACAGTACTAGTAGGGCAAAGCTAATGTAAAGTCCTTAAATCACAACTGTGTCAGCTTTGTCTCTGGTACGAGAGCCTCTGCAAGCTTTAAATCTTTGGGTTTTTTTAATAGGTTTTGATTTTACTATTACCAAAAAAATTGTAAAATACTGCAAAGGAAGTTGCAAGGTAAGGGTCTAAGACAAACCAATCCAAACCAACCTTTTCCACTACTATCAGGTCGGACACTTGTATGTCCGAGCTGGGAACTTTGACAATGCCTGCTCGTGTTAGTTTCATGAACTCTTGGCCGTTGACCTCGCGATCTCGGCAAAAACGTCGGAAGTCATCCAGCGCCTCACGAACCATTGTTACAAAAATAACAAATGCCTGAAGAAAACAAAAAAAACGTTTTGAAAATAACCCGTAATTTTCTTTCACTAACCCTACAGTCTGCTATTTATCAAAATACTGCAAAACGCGGCCATGTATTTTGGTGAATTTTAGGGCATACTTACACATGAATGTAGTTAGTGATAAGGCTTTATAAATAGATGAACATTACATTAATTGATGGAATATCACGTATGCACATGTACAACTACTACTACAGTCTGTCTTACAAGGGCCGATCCAGAACACAATTTTTTGGGGGCCCAAAAAAACAAACCTTGGTGCCCCATACAGTGGGTCCAAAAATGACGGCGTGGGGTTCGGGCCCTTTTTGGATTCTAGATGCTATTTCTGACCACTTTTACCAAATCTTTTTGAGGAAAAGATGGTGGTGTACGCAGTGCCTGCCTTTTTTGCGACGCCACTTAAAAAAAAAAAAGGGTTCCTTTTGGGGGGGGGGGGGGGGCATGGCCCCCGTTGCCCCCCCCCCCCCCCCCCCCCCACCTCTGGATCTGCCCTTGCTGTCTTACAATTATAATTTCATAAATATTCTACAAATTGAATATATTTGACAACAAATAAAACACTTAGTAGATTTGCAAATGGCAAGGATTGCAACTGCCTATACATGTTTGTTAGTGGCTTACTTTGGTCAATAGAGGACAAACAGGACTTCTTATTTGTTTAAATACTTTGTTCCCCACACTCAAATTTAACAGGACACATTTCTACAATGTGTGCCCAATGTCACCTTGACTTCAAAGATTGTCAAGTTTAAGTATCATAGGCTCACAAAACAAAGCAGAAAAGTTGATTGAAGAAACTGAGGGAACAAAATTAATAAAGTATAATTATTTCCCCCCACCCCCATAAGAAAATTGCAACTTGTAAGGAGGATATTTTTTTTCATACACCACCCTTGATATACCAGTAATTGTACTAGTTCACCACGACCCTAACAAGTTTCATTCAAATGTGTCAGCAGTTAACTTATTCAAAAATATTACAGGCTGTCTTTTTGTTCACAGTACAACAGACATTATGATCATTGAATAGCAACCTTCTAAACTTGAAAATGGAAATGTACAAAATTCCTGACGTAATGTGATAAGTTCTTAAATATCTGGTAAGTTCTTTTATTAGAAACAACCAGCCAAATTGTATCAAATTGTATCAACAGTACAGTGTATACTGGCAATGCCATTTATATTGTGGTTGAGGACTGCCGAAACTTAAAAGTGATGCTAATATTCCTCATTCTAAACATGAACTCTGGTGAAGACTTCATTTAAGATGAGACTTACCAACGGGGCCCAGTATGTGTACAGGTAGCCTATTCGCAGAGAGGGGATGAACTGGGAGATTGCCATTATTAGGAAGTACAGATTGAGAAAAAGCCGAAACTGGTTGTAGAGAACCTGCATGTGAGAAAAAAAAAGGAACTTCAATAGTTGTTTGGAAAAGTTCTTATCTCTCTACAAAACAATTAGCCTTGGTCAAGGCGCTAGTTGTTCGGCCGTTACGCGGTAAACGATATCTTCGCTAGCGCTATGCATGCAGTCATATGTCTATGCATGCAGTGCATTAAAAATACAGCGCGAACAGCGACCTCACGCGGCCACTATTTTTATGCAAATCAGTTGGACCCAATCTAGCGCCTTGGTTCAATCGTCCATGTGAGGTTTTGGGGGTGGTGCTCATTATGTTAATAGCCTTAGCTGACCTTAAATGTCGTTTTCTTATTGGTCGATCGTTGCATGGAAACTTGCATAGTGAAACGTGGCACCGTACATAACCCATACACGTACACGTTGTGTGTCTCTGCACACAGCACCAATGCACAAAAACTGTGGTTCCTGTCACGTCCGCAAAAAGCGAATAGCTGCAAATAATTTGATGACGTCCGGATTTACCAAGGTGTGATTGGACACTCCACATATTAGCCCCGCCTACACTTATCTGTATTCGCATACGAGGTCGTGCGCTAGAAATCCAGCGCAAAATAAAGAAAAACATAAGCTTTTGCCGACGATTGAACCAAGGCGATAGATTGGGTCCAACTGATTTGCATAGAAATGGTGGCCGCGTGAGGTCGCTGTTCGCGCTGTATGTTTAATGCACAGCATGCATAGTGCTAGCGAGGATATCGTTTACCGCGCTACGGCTGGGATAAATAACAACTAGCGCCTTGACCAAGGCTACAAAACAATGTGACAAAGATCCCAGAAATTTATCACTTCATTTTTATCTGTTTCAAGAAAATCAAATCCATCACATGACTTACTCAATACAGAAAATGTTATAGCAAACACTCCATACCATAATGAAAATGTTAACCTAGGTTTTATTTAACAAAAAAGTCATAACATGCTCAATACATGCATAGCACTTCCATGTATACATGACACTTATTTTGTTTTGGATGTAGAGTATTTACTTATTGTTTTCGTGCCAAGACCCAATGTCTTAATTTCACAAAATGTGGAAAAGTGATGACTATCATGACACTATCAAACCAAATGTAATAGGAAAATTTGAAAATTAAAAATCGTTCAACCCTAATAAACTCAGTCATAAAATACACATTTTAGTTCCATCATTAACCCTAACTCCTTGGGCTCATTTACTAGAAAGTATCATGAATCCGCCGAAATCCACCAATTTTATCACGCACAAAATGCTGGTATCTTGAGTCCATCAGAATCCCCCAGTGTAGATACTGGAGGTATCCTGAATCCGCCAAAGTCTACCAGCATAAGTCTCGATGGATTCTGACGGATTCAGGATACCATGGTGGCATAAAAAAAAATACAGCATGTTTTTACATAGAGTCTTCAAAATCCATCGCCTAAATTTCTGGTGGATTTTGACGGATTCAGGATACCATGCTCGCATGAAAATTGTGATGTGTGTTGCAGCATAGAATCCATCAAAATTTGCATGGTTCAACTGCTGGTGGATTTTGATTTTATTGTGAATATTTTAATTGTAAAATTAATAATTCAAAATCACTGACACTACATGTACTGTACATTCCACGGTTACTCAATGTTACATTTTCGATGTACTTTGGAGTTTCCTGAAGTTGTAAACATTTGTACCTTACTGAAAGGGTTTCATCCACATGGTAGATAGAGTAGACCTAGACCTACACGTACATGTACCTAAGCACTAGAGATGACATCCAGAAAAATGTGTTACATGTATGTATGAAACACAAGACACACAAAATTGGTTACTCACGTTACAAACATACAAACAACCTTTGGAAATGTCTTTTAAATGGATAAAAGACCATGTCACAGGGCACACATAATAAGAGAAAAACAAATCTTCTAGAATCTTTTATTTTTTTGGAATCCACAAAAGACATGGTTACTCACGTTACGGTAACTCACGTTACATTTTGTCCGACCCATCTCAGAATTATATGCCATAATTCTTGTTAGTAAAGTACCATAGTAAGTCTGTTACAACCCAAAAGGCATCAAAATTACTAAAAGCCCTGACTTAAATTTACATTTTGGATCACCAAATTTGAGATTAAAGGGATTATACAACATTTGCAAACATCAAAAAGTTTTTATGAAATACCTTTACTAGGATGTTGGTTAATGACAGTCTAAAACATCCTGTAAAATTATGGCACCTGGTGTTAAGTCATCTTCAAGAAAATGGCATTTTTGTATACATTTCCAACGGTGGTCGGCCGACCACCGTTGGAAAAACCTAACTATTTTACAACTACTGCTCTAACTTCACCATTTTTTTCAGTCCAAATTTTGTTTGCTATTGGTTACATGTTCATGAGCGGGTGCAGGCCAGCTAGACTGGTTCCCTTACTTTACAAATTTCCGGCATCTATAAATTGATCCAGTTTATCTTTAGTGGAGTCAGGGAACCAGACAACTCCAGCATTTGTGTTTTTCTTGGTTTTTCCAGCATTTTCGAACACAAAACTTCAAACATATCAGTGTAACAATATTTGATCTATCACAGTAACCCCTCAAATAGCTCATTTCTAAAAATTACAGCAAAAACCAATGATGTACATTCCCTTTAACACTATCAGTATCATACAAGCTAGAAATAAGGTTATGACTGAAATATCTCTAATGGCATTAGTAGCAATCAAGGTTTAAACTTCACCAAATTTTTAGACTTCTTTGTCGTCAAAAAAATATTCTTCACTTTACAAGAAGATTTCTCACAAATAAATTGGCCAAAAATTGGGCTTTCTTTGTTAATTTATAAAAATAAGAAAGTGGGTTTACAAAATCAAACTTTATTTTTTTAAGCAATGTCCATCAACCTGTGGAATTGCCAATATGTAAATTGAATGAATATAAAAATCTGATTTATTGCTCCTTTGACTTATTTTTAAATGAAAAACAAAAAAAACAAATGATACATAGTACTCCTCTGAAAAGTACATGCCTCCCACACACTTTAGGCTTACATGTGTTGAATGATAAGTTTGTAATCGGAATTTGACTTGTTTCAAGTTCAATGACCAATCGGTACTAAACCATAGGGAATAGTGTGCGTACAATGTACATTGTGTCACTTCTTCAGAATTAAGGCAATACATCTGTGGTTTTAGGTGTGAAAAGACACAAACATCAGAGCAATTCCCTGCCACAAACATCAAACACAATTAAACCACAGTTTCCAGGAATCTGATTTTCCTGAACGGCCAAGACTTCAGCAGTTATGTATGTACATGTACTTACATGTACAAAAAGTGGTTAAATCAACGTGGGAGATTGTCCTCTAGGAGTTGAAGGTATATGGGCCATTGAATTTCTCCAGAAAATCAATCACAAAGGTGATGACAACATAGTACAGACTCTTCCAAATCTAGAGTGTTGGTTGGAGCAGTACTGGTTCCAATGGGTGGTCTCATCAAATGGCAATTACACGGTTGATGACAGTGGAAGGAAGAGGCAAATCTCATATTCCCACCCACAATCTCATGGTACACCCACAATACCTGAACCGCAATCAGCATGCTCAGCTATTCAACACATGTGACTGCCTAGACTTGAGGACAAGCCTTTAGACAGTCATGTTTTGTTTGCCAGGCTCTCCCCCCCCCCCCAAAAAAAAAACTTACTAGTACGATGCTAGTTTTTTATGAGTTTGTGAGTTTCTGAAAAGAACCAGGGGAAACTCAACGTTTCAGACGGTATGGTATGCCCATTGTCAGGAGACTGAAGGGAATCTAACAGTGAAGGGAGATTACCGGTATGTTGGATTCCCAGTCTCCTGACGACAGGCAGAGCATACTGTCCAAAACGTCGAGTTCTCCCCTCCCCAGGTTCTTTTCAGAACCTGACAAACTCATAAAAGAGATTTGTCACATGGGCCTACCATAAGTCTTTATCGTATTGCTACGCCCACCTACATGTAGTGTGAGGATCAGACATTCATGTGGGCAGAACCACGGTTGAACATCTGATGTATGGTAGCACCTGTACATTTTATGTGACCCCACGCGCCAGCCAATCGGGTGCATGGTCTTCAGAGACTGCGATGTCATTTCAATCAGAAATGTGGACTCAACGGGTTATGGATGACCCGATAAAAAATGCCGCTGAATGGTCAGAATTTCAAGGTCAGGACGCAGCCTTGTGCTGCATAATTAATCGCCGAAACTGCTTGCACATAGACCCATGCTGTGCAAAGGGATCTTCCATAGACTAACCTTTGCCATTCAAACCTAAAATCTTATATGACATACATACATGACTTTACTTTGATATAAAATTTGCGAATGCATGCACCTATACACATTCGTAAATATCTGCTTTTACTGGTACCTGTACATTTATTTCCCAGTAAGGTCACCAGTCCCAGGCAAAGGACCACTGATAATGATATTTCATTTCAGAATTGTCTGTTTTCAATGCAGGAGCTTGTGAAGTCCATTTCATGAAGCTGTGCAATAAAGTCCATTTCCCTCTGTGTTGTGTATTGTGGATGTTCACTAAGTAACAAAATTGCGAAACGGTTTTGTTACAGACTTTAAATATCTGTGTCCCCAAAGCTGCATGAAACCAGTCACAGACCACATGGGAGGGGTGATTTACAATGTAGGCCCCCCCCCCAACCCCCCCCCCCCCCCAAAGCAAGAAGGTTACCAAATGCGTGGGCACCTGGGCAGCAGCCAAAGGGGGAGACCATTCACATGTGACGTCACCTTCTTTTGGGGGGGGGGGGGGCGGCTAAAGCCCCCTAGCGCCCCCTCCCCCGAACCACACCTGCTTTGCTTTGAAATCAACAGTGTTTGGTCATCCGTGACTGCAGAGATGCAAACAAGGTATCAACTTTAGGAAAGCTTATGGGTTATCCATTATGATAGAACCACTTTTACAGTGTTTTTATTTAAGTTTATCACTTTCGCAACCAATTATTT